CGCTGACTCAACCCTTTCGAATACAAAAATCTTTGCTTTATCCATTTATCTCAGCACATAGCATAGGTGCTCAATAAATATTTGTTCGATGAATGAATAGCACATTTAAAGTGCCTGGGCCAGAGCCTAATTTTTGGAGAAAGTTCCATGAATATTTGATGGTGCTCTGTATTCAAATACTATTAAATGGTGGGGGTAGAATAATGCAAAATGAAAGTTTCCTGTTTTCTGGAGTTTGCAGACTGGAAGAGGAGTCAGACATTAATAGACACAACTGAGCGAATAATTACAAATTGAATTGTGCAATGAGAAGAGGGGGAAGAAAGGATAAACACACCAATAAAGGACCTGGGCCTAGACTGGCAGTCAGGGAAGGCTTCCCAGAGGAGGTAACAGCTAAATTAGGATTTGAAGGATGAGGTATGAGCTACAGGTGAAGGAAAAGGGAAGGCCTAGAGCATTTTAGGAGAGGATTAGCAAGGAGAGAGGATAAGTGATGGGAACATGTTCCAAAGCTTGGCAAAAGGCTGAAGGGGCGGAAATACAGACAGTATGAGAGGGTGATGTGGGACAAGGCTAGGTGGAGGGATGGCAGCACGCAGACTTGGTAGATCCTTCTGGACCACGTTTCGGATTTGGGTTTTCATCCAAGAGCAAGATTGGGTGTGGGGTAGCAATGGGAGGGTGCCCTAACCGGGTGTTCTTGAGAAGATCCCCTTAGTTGCAACTTGAAGAACAATTTGAAGGGGGCCTAGAGTGCATAGGGGTGGATTTGTTCTGGGGTTATGGCAATAGTTAGGGGAGTGATAGGTGATTTTCATTTATTCCCTTTCTTATGCTTAACTATATTTTCTGATTCTTCTAAAATGATCATGTAGCTCATTTGCATTTCTTATGCAGGAAATTAAACTGTAAATTTCAACCAAGGGCTAATAACTCTAGAAACTCTAGAAATCACATTTCTCATTGAGGTCCCAGACCTCCATGCACTTGGACTAGGGCAGAAACAACAGAAATCAAAAGGAGTGGACAACTTAAGAGCAGTCTAGATGTCAAAATGGAGGAGTTTGAGCGTGTGCCCAGACATAGGTGGTGAGGTCAGGTGGCTAAGGAAGATGCAAGCTCAGTTTCTCAAAAAGTAGTATTCCGTTCTCTGGGAAGGGGAGGACTGGGGAGGGTCCTGGCTTGATGTAGAGAACATTAGGATCCTGGTACCTGAATGCTAACAACTGCGAGAAGCTTTGTGTGGTGCATGTAACTGAAGACACCCTCTACCCCACGATCCCATCTCCTGGTATTCTACTCCCCTGGAGTGCGGGGGCGTCCTGGGACTTGCTTCTAACCCAAAGAATATGAGAAAAGTGAGGACATGTTTGTGCTGTGATTATGTTGTGTTGTTCAAGACTCTGTCTTGTTGACACACGCACTATGGTAACTCTCCCTATTGGTGAAGAAAGTTTTCATGTTGGGGAAGCCCACATTGCAGGTAGCCTCTAGAAGCCGAGAATGGTCTTCAGCCAACAGACAGCAAGACGCCAGGGGCCTCAGCACCAATGCTGCAATGAAATGACACTGCCAACCTCTGAGAGGGGGTTGAGGGGGGAAGCAGACCCTTCCCCAGCGGAGCCTTCAGATGGAGACTCAGCCCTGGCCGAGTCCCCATCTGCTTACAGCCCATAAGACTGTAAACAGAGAATTTAGCTAAGCCATGGATTCCTGCCCCATGGAAACTGTAAGATAAATGAGTACTGTTTGAAACTGCTAAGTTTGTGGTAATTTATTAAACAACAATATCGATAAACTCTGTAGGTGGCAATTTCTAGATCAAAGCCATCTGAGTTACAGAATATTTCAGTTCCAAGAAAAGATTTGGTCATTCTGTTTCTCCATGTTTTGGGGCTGGGGACTCGTTTATCTCCAGGGACCTCTCCTGACTGGTAAACTTTTTTGTTTCAAAACAGAACCCCCTCATCCCCTCTCCTCCTACCTCCTTGACTGCACATTCTCTGAGACTTTTAACATAGATGCTTTGGGGGCCAACCCTGTACTGCATTTCTTCACAGATATTGTCTGTTCCCTTGGCTTCAAGGGTCATTGCTACTAGAGTGACTCCTGAATCTTATCCCCAGTACCAGATCTCTTGAGAATTCTGTATTTGTGCTTCTAGCATGATTCTGAGAAGTTCCATGTAGCTCTGTGCCCATCATCCTGAGCTAAGGATGTCCCAGATTGAAATGATTATCTTCTCTCAACACCTCTGTTTCTCTCCTTAGCTGTTTAACGTCTTTCTTGTTCTCCCATTTACGTGGACTAAGCATCTCGGGCCATACCAGCTATTCCCTTTACTTTGATCTCCACAACTAGCCTGTCCTCAAGTCCTACGAATTCTTTGCTTACAACCTTCACCTCACTTTTCCATCCTTGCCACCACCCTTTGATCAAAAAAAAAAAAAAAAAAAAAAAAAGAATCCAGTGGCTTATTACCTGTGGACTTACACCTGATCTTTTTAGGATACTGGGTTATGGTCTCAAACCTTATGTCCATCACTGCCCTAATGGCGCCCCACACTGCATTATGTATTGATCCCCAATTAGGAGCTGAGAAGAAGGAAATCTTTTCTTGTTACTCAGGAATCAGCCTCGCCTCTTTGACTACTACGACAGTTACCATGTATTTCCTGCCATATAATGTGACTGTCTGGATTCGTAGTTATTTGCTAGGTTGTCATGCTACTAGGTATTCTCTAGAGGGTTTGGATCTGGGAGCCACCTCGAATCTTCTGGTCAGCATCAGAGGGTAACCAAGCCGTACTGACACTGTCCACTCCACCAGTCACTCTCCGACATCGTGTGCACGTAACTTACCTGCTGGCATGAAAGTTGTGACTCAGCCTGCCAAGTGTGGCGCTCGGGAGCCTCGCGCTTCCAGCAGCCAGGCTCCAAGCTTCCCTTCAACCCTTCTTTCCCCATTCTTCCTCCACGCCACCCTTTTGTCTGCTGGCCTTGTTGCCTCACGTTGTCCTGACTGCTCTGCCTGCTGCCCCTCCTCCCCACCTCTCGTGTGTCCCTCATAAAACTATGATCTAACGGATCATTACTTCTGCAGCGAACTCCCCAAAACAAAAGTGCTGTGCAAGTCAGAAACACAGGGTCACCTCACAGACCGGGCCTGTGATCCAGGATGGGGCTGGGTATTTTCTTTCCATGCTTCCTTCTCTGCTGAGCCCCTTGATGTGGCCACTTTACTACCCACCAGAACCCCAGGACTGATTTTCCTCTTGCACCAGCCCAACCCCGGCCTTGTATACTGTGGCTCCTAGATTTGCACACTGTCTTGGGCCTCGCAGTTACTCTTTCCATGTGTTTCTTTTTTAAGATTTTTATTTATTTATTTATTTGAGAGAGAGAGAGAGAGAGAGAAAGAGCACAAGCCAGGGGAAGGGGTAGAGGGAAAGGGAGAAGCAGACTTCCTGCTGAGCAGGGAGCCCAGTGTTGGGCTCGATTCCAAGATCCTGAGCTCATGACCTGAGCCGAAGGCAGACACTTAATCAACTGAGCCATCCAGGGGTCCTTCAGTATGTTTCTTCTTAAATTTCATGGTTGCCAGATCATGTGGGGTTATAAAGAGAAGGGCTGAAGAAGCCAAAAGGTGATTAGAAGAAAACATGATCGGGAAGGATAAATGAAATGGCCCATCGGTGACAACTGGCCTCACCTTCTTGTCGAGTGCTGTGTGGTTGTGCTGCTCTCTCGGAGCTGGGGGTCACCCCTGCCATGGGTTTGCATTGAGGCTGGTGAGTCCTAGACACTGATACCATAGGATTCTTCTGTCGGTTGTGGGTAGCCCTGATGTCTAACTGCTAGGTTTTTATTTCAGTTTAGTTTAGTTTAAGCTCATTATTTTTATTTTTACTGCCTCTCTGTTGCTCAGTATTAGATAATACATTGCAAAGAGGAGTGTCGCTCGTCAAGTGGGCAGAGATCAGGGCAGGGCCAGTGTGGGAGACTCAGGAGAATAACAGGTGTGCAGGGAACAGGGGTGGGAAGTGCGGGTCCTGGGTGGGGGGTCCCACTCTGTCTACATGTCTGTAATCTTGGAAGGGTGATCCAGCCTTGTTGACCTGTTCCCCCAGTACTCAGGGTTGGGGGTGCTGGTGGGGAAACAGATCACTCTTTAACAGGCCTTAAGGATGAGTTACTAGAACTGTGCAGAATACTCCTTTTCTTAAAAAAGAAAAAAAAAAAAAAAACCAAGCAATAAACTCTCCCTTCCAGAATCACACCATTGTGTCCTTAACCTTGAAGTTTTCTTCTGTCCAGTGAGTGGGTCTTTGTACGACCTTCTCAGGCTCAGGGTACAAACTGAAAAGTCACGAAGACATGGGCCAGAGGATTTTCATTCTCATCTGTCTCCCATTGCTGCAAAGGTTGTGAAATTCTTCCATGGAATGAAACAGAAAAATCATGACATAACTGTCCACCCCACCCCCCGCCCCCCACGTAAGGAACCAGCACTGCTTTCCAACCTGTGAATGTTTTCCTGTGGGTCCCCAGGGCCACGAGTGTTTGAAGCAGTTCTCACTGCAGCGCTTTCACTCAGCCCACGTCCCAGCCCCTCCCAGCTCCCCCTCCAGAGTCGCCAGGGTTCCCAAGTAGAAACCAAGAGACTAACAAGAGCCCTGGCAGGGATGTACAACAGAAATACAAGAAGCGTAGGGTAAGGAAGGTGGCGGAAGGTGGGAGGCAGGATGGGGAGGGGAAGGTATTTTCAGCAGCAGCGGGGACTCCTGAGACCCATTTTCAAGACAGACACTTTGCTTGGAGCAATTTCTGCCTTTGTGCCTCTTTAATGGTTAGTGGTGCAGTCAATGGCATGCCTGCTCCCTGGTTAAAAATGTGGCTGTTAGGTGGCAGCAATGAGCCTGCTGGCTTTGGGATCCATGGGCTGACAAAAAGACCATTGAACATTGACTTTTTCACTTTTCTTTCTCTTTCCCCAGGGCAGCCGCCGAAGTCCTGGCAGCATTGCTGGAATCCAGTAAGCACCTCTTCTGGAAAGGGGTCATTTCCTTCCCCTCCGAGTTCAGTGAGAGATGCTCTCTGTATCTCCATGGCTCGTTTTCAACCTGGAAGGCAATAGAGCCATTCCTGGGTCTTCGGGGGTGAGATGGAGAGGGTTATGGCTGTTCCAAGTGCCAGGCTGCAGCGCGAGAGTGAGTATCTGTCCGTAGGGGTGTGCGTGAGTGCAGTGCCATCAAGGCGGTTTGCTCTAAAGGGAGTGTGTTGTCCTCTGCAGATCCGAGGAACTCTCCAGTTCCTTCTGACAGGAGCACTGTTGGAATAAGGTCCCGTTCCAGCAGGATTGTTCTGTAGAAGAAAAGGTGATGACACTGGGCATGTGGGAAGCAGGACTCTTGCTTTTGCTTCTGATCCCAGTTCATGACTCTGTATTCTCGGGCAGGTGGGGTGTTGGGAATCGTTTGGACAGTGTAGATTCTAATAACAAATTTATATTAAAAAGTTGGCTCTCTTCTCAGTCACTTGAGTGATTGCAAAAGAATAGCTCTGGGGGTCTGAATAATTTGAAGATTTTTTTTTTTTTTTTTTTTTTTGCCTGGTAGTCCTGGTCTAATTACATTGAGAGTCAATTTCATGTGTGCAGTATAATAGAAGGCACCATGCGTTTGGGAGCAAAGAAGTCTTAGTGTAACGTTTTTATTTTTTTTCCCCTCCTTACCTTTTCATCTATTTTAATTTGGAGCCTTGGAAACCCGTTCCTTCAATTGTGATATTTGTTTCTCTATAGGGAGCCCGAGGCCTGTGGGTAATAGGTGAACTTTAATAAAACTTATAAATAAATAAATAAAAATAACACCTTCTCCCCCAACCATAGATCTTTGTCAACTCTCAGCACAGAGAAAGAGCCCTGTCATGTAGCACTTCCTTTTGTAGGCTGAAGAAAAAGAAGAAATTAAAGCTTGAATTCATGTGGTCATTTGGAACGTGATACAGTACACAGGCGTGTTCACGGCTCTCGGGCCTGCAGGTGCAACGGAGGGTTTCATAACAGCTTGGGGGAGGGCAGAGTGAGAGGTCACAGCCCTTGAGATAGGAGAGAAGAGGAGGTGTTACCTGTGGGTTACAGGCAGGTTAGGAAGGAGCCTGCCCCAGGCTGGCATCTTGGTTCTTGTTAGTTATCTGTCCTGCCATTCCTGGTGATGATACCAAGTGTTTGGTGCTGGAGGAGTTCTGGGATTGCAGGAAGGAAGGGAGCTGAGAGGGGCCTAGGGAGCCAGCGCAATCTAGGTGGTGGAGGCCTTCATGTCTCATAGGAAGAGAGCCCCGAGACTGGAGAAAAGCTGACTCCTTTTCTACACACACACACACACACACACACGCACGCACGCACGCACGCACGCACACACACTTCTCAGCATACAGTGTCCTGAGACACAATGTACCTACCATGTGTGGAGATCTGAAAGCAGGCACATGCCTGTTATTAACTATTTCCATATGAGGCACCGGGCATGGACTCAAGGAAACCAAAAAGCAGTGACAACATAACAACTAATTCAGGCTTAGAACACGTAGCCGGGTTTCCGGCATACTGGCTGCCCACAGCAAACTGAGCACGCTGTACTAGGGACCAGCTTTAAAAGTTTCTGACTTCTACTTTGCTTTCAGAGCTCAGTCCAGACCTTTCCTCTAAAAAACTTTCTCTGGGGCGCCCAGGAGGCTCAGTCACTCGAGCGACTGACTGTAGATTTTGGCTCAGGTCATGATCTTGGGGTCCTGAGATGGAGCCTTGGGTCAGGGTCTGCGTTCATTGGGGAGTCTGCTTGAGGACTTCTCTCCCTACCCCACTGCCCCTCCCCTTGCTATCACTGTCTCTCTCTCAAATCAATAAATGAATCTTAAAACAACTTTTGTAGGCAAAGGCCATCTTTGTAGGTCGCTGAATTATTTGTGTCAGCACAGTGAAAAGCTAGAAAAAAAGGTGTGGACTAAACATTAAAATTAATGAATGATTTCTGAAGGAATATATATGAATGGATAAAATGAATGAATGATACTTACATGTATGAAAATGGCAGTACTCCCCTGTACTACCTGAACCCAACAACCCACACGTAGAACCAATGATCTTAACATTTGTTGTTCTGATGTCTACTTAACTATACTAATAGACTCTTGGGGACCTGATAGCCTGCTGTCCTCCACATATAAAATGGGTTTTATCACCCCATCAGAAGGGTGCATGGAGTTATTTGCTAATTCTGCTTAGTCGTCTGCACAGACTTTCTCTGGATCTTAGGTTCTTTATAATGTGATAGAATTGGATGAGAGGTTCTCTAACATTCTTTCAATCTCTGAGTACTCTGCCATCATATATATCAGGGTCTCCAAACCTTGACACTCTTGCAGATTGGACTGGTTAATTCTTGGTTGTTGAGGCCTGTCCTATGCACTGGGAATGGTTTAGCGGCATCCCTCACCTTGACTCACCAGATGCCAGTAGCACTCTCAATTAGAAAGAACAAAATTGTCTCCAGACACCACCAAATGTGCCCTGGGAGGTCAGAATTGCCTCCCATTGAAAATCACAGATGTAGATGGGACCAAACCTGTGAATTGAAGGCGTTTTCAAGGTTTCAGATAATCTCTCCTCAGATACTTTATTGGTATCTCATAGAAATGTTCTTCTTGCATAACTAATCTTGAATTCCCCAGCTTTGGTCTCATTCCTGTGGGTTTAAAAGAGGTAAAAAAACTGATGGCAGAAAGTCACTTGTGGAAGTGCAGAAATTACTTGGGAAGGAATAGGTTCTAAAGATCTAGAAGATCTTAGAACAAGGAGGGCAAATAGTTTCCATTACACGTGCCAGCTCCCACATGTGGGTGGAAGGATTCTGAGATCATATTTGAGCTCAGCAGGAAAGGTGTTTAAATAGCAAAGTTTCTTATGGATTGGGGAGGAGCAGTGACAGAACACCAGGTAGTCGCCATCTTGGTTCTACCAGCATAAGCCAAGTGTCGTGTGGCGTGGAGGGTCTGGGCAAGGATGGTGCTGCTCCACGTTGGCTGGGGCTGCTGTGTGGCAGGGGAATGTCATGGAATTCTCTAGTTGCTTTGTATGGTCTTCATGCACAGTTAAGACCTGACATGGAGTGTCTGTCAGTTTGGATCCCAGGCGAGTTTGTTTTCAGCTGGACCTAATTTCAGGAAGTCAGTTTCTGCCTAAAATTCAAACCCTTACCATCTGGCAATGGATATCTGGGAATGTTTATGTGACCCTTTAGTTTTTTGTTTGTTTTTTTTTTTTTTTCAAAGATTTTATTTATTTATTTGACAGACAGAGATCACAAGTAGGCAGAGAGGCAGGCAGAGAGAGAGAGGAAGGGAAGCAGGCTCCCCGCTGAGCAGAGAGCCCGATGCAGGGGTCAATCCCAGGACCCTGAGACCATGACCTGAGCCGAAGGCAGAGGCCCAACCCACTGAGCCACCCAGGCGCCCCATGACCCTTTAGTTTTAAATGCATAATCCTTTCAGCTAATGATTAGTCTGGTTTTTGTTTGTTTTTTTTTGTTTTTGTTTTTTTGCTTAGTCTGGTCTTAATGCTTGCTTGTTGTATAAAAGTTGGCCCTGTAATGTATCTCTGTGATTGCTTCACAAAGAAAGCGCATTCCTCAGTCAAAATAAAGCCAGAAGGATGTATCTTTCTACCTTGGGGTTAGTCAGTGCTTCTGTGGCAATAAACTTGGGTGGGCTTGGGCATCTGAGGCCAGTAGGGTCCTTTCTATTCCTAATGGGTATAGAGAGTGGCTGGAGGCAATGACCACCAGTATCAGGGAAAGCAGAACCTAGGATCTGGGCGACTTGGAGTTTGCCCACCTTAGCCACAAAAAGAGAGGGAAGGAGCACCTGGGTTGCATAGGACACTTGTTCAGTTGCCTCAGCTGTCTTACATCCCATAGCTACTGCACGAGAAGCCAGTGTAGGGTATGTGGGTGGCGAGAAGAGGGAAACAATCCAGAAGACATCTTTTGTCTCTTTCCCTTCCTGAGCGATAGCAGGCAGAATAAGCTCGGGCGTCCCAGACTGCTATTCCAGTTGTCTCCGCAATCTAGGACTCCCAACAATGAAAAGTCATTGCCCATTCAAGGGAACTTTCTGTACGTGCAGGGGCTAGAATGGTCTAATCCAAATCCCACACCGTTCATGGCATCCATTTCCCCCCTCTACTCACAGGAGCACAAACCCTACTTCAGTTTCCCTGTGCGGAAAGGGTTACCCTTTGATGCGTTAGCCTACGCAAAAACACTTAGCTTTTCATTACCAAAACTTAATAAAGGCTTTGATTAAGAAATAGTGCTTCTAGTGCAGGCAATTTTTTTTCCTCTAATAAACCCAAGCAACATATTGTCCTTTGTCTCTCTCCATCTTGTGCATTGCCTCCTGTCTGCCTTTCCCTCGGCCTGTACCCCATCTGTGTTCCTTTTTCCCCTCATCCTCTTTTCCTTTTCTCACTGTCTGCTCTACCCGCCCCCACCGCCTCACCTCTTCTTCTCTCTTTTCTCTCCTTAACACCCCTCCCATGAGCATTAGGTATAAACACAGGGTTGAAAACTTGCGGCCCTCGGAAATGGCACTTGAATGAGCGTGTGGCAGTGGTCTCCTGCTTCCTGACTTGCTTAGGTCACGCCTCAGTGTTAACTTTGCTGCTCAGATTTAAAGGTCACATTCCCGCAACAAGGAATCACCTGCTACACCTCCTGGTCCAGGCTCTAAGTCTCAAGAAGAAGAGAATGGTTTTACTTCAGACTACTCCCTAACTTAAGAATTAGCCTCTAGAGGAGTCTGGAAGTTGGCAGAAGCGAGGGCGTGGGGAAGGTGGTAGAAATAGGAAAGTAAGTTAATAAAGGAAGGGGGATGAGGTGGAGGGAGGGAGAGATAGGAGGGCGCTAATGGGAGGTTTTGCAGGGAGGTGACACTTGTCACACGTCTTCCTAGTTAATGTTCTGGCCGGCTGGCTCC